ATTTGTTCACATTTTTGCAGAACTGGTAATTTTCAATTTAACCAAATTTCTAAATTATTGAACTCATAATTTTGGCAATTATCTGATTTTCATTCACGATTAAACCAGTTTCATTTAGTTAAACAGTTTCCTTTTATTTCGAACACACCTCACACGTTTCAGTTAAAACACGCCTACCAACATACCCAGATTCAAGGAGGGTCCCGTACGGGACCAAGCGCTGAACGAACCCAACGAAAGGCTAATAATTATAATCTTTTAATATCTTATCAATTTTGTCTTTCGTCTTTTAATTTGTCGAGAGCGTTAATACGCTCGAGACTGGTGGCAGCGATACCAACCATCGCGCTAAAATAGGGAAGCAGGAATTAGGGGTTGAATTCCAACCAATTAATTGAAATTTAACTACCTAAAAATCCACTCATTAATTATTCTTTCCTTTTTTACGTTGCGCGTCGTCGCTCGCGCGCAACGTAACACCAATATTTCGACACTTACTATAGGGGATTAATATACGGGGACCTACTGTAGTCCTAGCTCACCGCGCATATTCCATCGCGTTGATGACGTCAGAGTCAGTATCTTGGAGGCACCGAAGTACCTATTAAATATCGCGTGGGGAGCCCCTGGTTTAAAAAATTTAAATCACTAACATACAACGTCACAAACATTTATAAAACAAATATACACGAACTGTTTCGGTCGTAGCTCATTCTCCACGCGTTAGATATTAGCTAAAATTATTAGCTTATACTGAAAATATTTTATATAATTTACTCCGACGCCCAGGGCACTGTCGCGGCTTGGTGCTTCACTGTTCTTTCTCACTCATCGTCCTTTCACGCAGGCGCAGCGGTCCGGACGTTCTCCTATTGGTTATCCGGACTACCTACGCACGCGTATTGCCTCTAGGACCGGTATTTTTCGCAATTTCCGTCTCCGTTTATCTGTCTCTCGCGTCCGCCATGATCCACGTGCTTGTGAAATTGTTTCGTGCCAATTTATGTAATATTGTGGATTATATCGACTCACCAGTGTTGTTGGGTTTAGTAATAATAATATGTTATACCCAAGTGCTCTATCCGTGTGTGTGTGCCGTGCACCTGGGAGTCCTTTCGCCCACGAGGTCCTCGTGTCGACAACGCTCCACGTGGTCCCGCCATCTCGGTCATGCCTATCTTCCGCCTGTGTACCACTCGTTCACGTGCAATCCTGTGCTAGTTCTTGTCAAAAATGTTCACAATCTATCTATTAACCCATCTAATCTTCTGTTTTGTGTCTGTTTCTCAGTTTCTAGTGGAGTGTGGTGGTGTAAAAGTGTGTTAATTGTTCTCTGTCCATATCACCTGTCACTTTCTGTCTATGTTTATCAAAAAATCGTCTATGTTTTACAGTCTATCGTCCCCGTTCTTGAATCTAATTGTTCAGTAAATTAATAAACCTTATTAGAACAGATTAGAACACAATATTTTTTCACCCTTCCACTTTTACCACTGTTTCCGGTCCTTAAAGCCAGAGCGGACCCGGCACACGTCCGCTCACCATGGCATCCCGCACCGCACTAACTCAACCTAACCCTAACCCTAACCCTTTTTTTTTTTTTTTTTTTTGACGAGGTGGGAAAATGCTTTACGCACGCACGGATAGATGTTCGTCCGGCAGTGTGGGACTCCCAGGAATAACTAGTGTACCCACTAAAAACCCAAACCTCGATTTCAAACATCATATTCCTGACCCCAGACCTCCCCCGGGACCGCGTTAAGCATAACTTCGGGGGCGGGAGATTTTTCAGGACTTTCAACAAGTGAGTTATCCCAACTCACAGGAAATAAAACACTGGTAGTGTTTTAAACACAACGAGTTCTTAGCAAAAAATTATCTAGGCGATCAATCCGCGAAAAAGAAATAATAGTTTAGTATGTACAGATAATACTATCTACGTTTTCTTCCTTTACTCTTACTTTTGCTTCCTTTACCTGTTTTTAAAACCTTATTCTCATACTCCTGCTTCCCTTTCAAAATATGCACAATGAATTGTACCACGATGTGCCTGGAATTTTTATCCTTTAGCAGGGAGATAAGATTATCCATCTGCAGGTCCACACTTAACTGCAAGTTCGTTTGTAACCTTTCCAGGGTCCATCGGTCACACACCAGTAACGTGTGCTCCGGATTATCCATCATCTCAGGGCAGAACCAACAGCGATCATTTTCCTGTTTATTGAACTTCTTTAGGAACGTTCCGAAGCATCCATGGCCCGCCAAGATCTGTGTTATGTGAAAGTCGAGTATCTCTGGACCCCACGTAATCCACTCCTCAATACGTGGTATAAGCTTATATGTCCACCTGCCTTTACTTGAAGCTTCCCAGGCAATTTGCCAGTTTTGCATCGTGCGCTTTCTTTCCTCTTCTTTTTCACCCTCGGCAAGCTCTCTTCGTAGTGCCTTTCTCTTTTCAAATAGTCTTTCTCTCTCTTTAACTAGGAGTTCAATCGGAATTTGTCCCGTCAGAACACAGAGGGCATCCGCAGATATTGTACGATATGCCCGAGCAACTCTGAGTAGGGCAGTACGTTGTGTGCTGGTCATCTTATCCACATTACCTTTTGTTTTTAATCCTATACCCCATATTGGCGCCGCGTACATCAGGACTGATTCAAAAACTTTATAATAAAGTTTTCTAGGTAAATTTCCTGCTCCGTGAGTGTTAGGCAGCAGCAGTGATAGTGCATTACAGTATTTCAAAGCCTTGTTACATACTGTATCGATGTGCGTATTATATGCTAAATTATTTCCCATAATAACACCTAAATATCTGGCTTCAGAGGCAACCTTGATTTCCGCTTCACCGCACCTAAATTTGATTTCCTTAGGGACTCTCCTATTAGTGAGCATGATCGCTTCTGTCTTTTGATGCGCTAGCGCCAGTCCTTCTCCAGAATACCAGTCCGACATCTTTCTCAGGGTTTGCTCGGCGATCCTGATTAGTCTGCTCAATAACTCGCCTATGACAATAACTCCAATGTCATCCGCGTAACCAATCAGATAGACATTTTTCCTCAAGGTCATTTTTAGTAGCTCATCATATACGATATTCCAGAGGAGCGGACCAATCACGGATCCCTGAGGAACCCCCCCGAAGACTTGGAACCGTGAGTATTCGTCCGATCCTTCATACAGGATCCATCTATTGTTTAAATAATTCGCGATCATTCGTACCAGTAGTCCTGGGAATTTCCGCTGTTTTAGGCCTCTGATAATGCTTGACCATCTTACCGTGTTAAACGCATTTTTAACATCAAGCATGATCATGAGGCAATGGTGGCCATCCGTTCTGGCTCCATCACTATGTCTTTTTATCTCGTGCATCGCATCTAAGGTAGAAAGGCCCTTACGGAAGCCGAACTGATTTTGGGCCAGATCACAGTTGGTAAGCGCCATTAGAATCTTCTCTTTTATTATGTATTCCATCATTTTAGCCACTACGGAAATTATGGTTAAGGGCCTATACGATTTCGCCTGGTTTGTGGCCGATGGTTTACCCTTTGGCAGGAGGACAAGTCTTCCTGTCTTCCAGGGTACTGGCCAATACCCCCTAACGTAGCACACATTGAAAATGTACGATATCCATATAGAGGAAGCAGTACCCATCACTTTGGCCACCCGTGATGTCAGACCGTCCGGGCCCGGGGCCTTCTTTGGGGCCAATCGGGCCGCAGCTCTGTTAACATCTTCAACTGTGATATGAACCCCCTCAGGCACAGTTTCTTCCTCCGATGTATCTGCATTATCTCTCCTTGGCACATTTTCTGAGTTCTCAGGAAGGAGTATAAACAGGTCTTCAACCACCTCTTTGACTTCCTCGGAGCTAAGCGACTCAGGAGCGGTTTTTCCTTTAACCGCCTTCATAATCGCCTTATATGGTTTGCCCCAGGTATCATTTTCAACTTCACGCAGGAAGCTACGCCAACTTTCACGTTTTGCTCTTTTAATCGCAATGTTTAGCTCTGTCCTACATTTTTTATATTGTAGACGCCTGATCTCCGTTGCCTGTACATTGGTGTGCTTTCTCCTTTCTCTGGTGTATAGTCTTCGTGCCACATGAGCTTCTTTGCGTTTGGCAGCTACTTCATCGTTCCACCAAGGTACTGTGGGGCCACTCCTACGTCCCACGGTTTTGAGAACAGTGCTTTTCTTAATTATCTTATTTATGTCACTGATAAACTCGTCTACGTCTAAGATGGAATTGTGTCTAATAAGTACCTGTTGGTGTTCATTGGAGTATTTTTTAAGGTAAGATATTAGAAATTTTTCCTCATCCAGTGTCCCTTTTTTCAGATCTAACATCGATGGACTCGCCTCTCTCATCGTTACACCCGGAGTATTAATGGTATGTATTAGATACTTGTGATCAGACGCAGTGTAAATGTCCATTACCTCTGTTTCTATTATGAGGCCCATTACCCGCTTGCTACACAGCATTATATCTATTTTGGACCCTCCACCGCGGTCACAAGTATTTCCTCCCCTTGAGGTAACAGGAATTAAATCGGTGGAATTGGCCATCTCATAAAGTCTTCTCCCTCTGGGGCACCATTTATCAGATCCCCATAAAGGGGATTTTGAATTGAAGTCGCCCGTTACTATAATTCCGTAACCTTTATTTTTGCACGATTCTATTACCGCTGTCAGCATCGTCAAGAAGGTCTCGTACTCCTGGATTGGGGCATTTGGTGATGCGTAGACGCTAAAAATAAAGAACCCTTTATAATCAATAGCTACATAGCCGTCCTCTTTAGCCACGATTTTACAATCGGGCCATCGTTTTGCCCCCTTTTTTGTCACAAAGATAGAAGCACGTTCTGATGTATCAGTATGCCATTCAGGAAGCGTCTTATATGTTTCTGTGATCACAACCAGGTCGGCATCCTTTTCTACCGCGGTAGCCATCATAAGGTCATGGGCGGTTCTGCAGTGGTTAAGGTTAATCTGCAGGATTTTCACGTATTTATCTTCTTTGCCCTAACAGCTTCCCTATATATTGGGCACCTGATCGAGGCAGCAACGTGGTTTGCCTCCCCTATAGCTGCCCCTTTTTCGACGCACAGCCTACAACAGTGTTCATCCTTGCACTCTCGCAGACTGTGCCCTTGGGCACCACATCTCCTGCAAAGGACAGTTTCCGTTTCCGGGAAACGCTTGCATGCTGCTGCAACATGCCCCAAAGCATGGCATCTAAAACATCTTAGAATGCGCGGTATTTCCTTAACTGTCGCTATAGTCCAGCCTACTCTAATTTTCCCCTTTTCCACCAAGTTATTTAGTGAAGCCGCTGGGCCTTCAATGATGGCAATTTTATTACGGCGTGGATCGGTCCTCAAGATCTTCAAACGTACGTCACTTTTCGGACAACTTAGTTCTGTGAAAACGGCTGCGAGGATCTCCTCACCTTCTACATCTGGATCAATCCCTTTGATCTCTACATCCATTCTCTCTTGAAGTCTGGAAATTGTAACCTCGGTTCCCAGCTTTCCATCGATCACCTTTTTGAACGCCTCCACGTCTGCCTTTGGGGTGAACTCGAGCAAAAGATTCCCTGCCCTCGTTTGCCTAACACCTTTTATACCCTCCGGTGAGGGTCCCACCGTCTTTTTTACTTTTTTAAGCACCTCAGAGAAGGACATGCTCGCCTCAAATCTAATCGCGATAGCTTGCGGTTTCATACGCTTTCGCTTGGTTGGTCCTTTTTTATTGCTATTAGTCTCCCCCGGGGTGCCAAAGATAGGGGTCTCAGGCATCGGTCTAGGGGTTCCTGAAGTCTGCTTAATCTTCCTCCTCTTCACTATTTCCCATTCGTAATTCGCTTGATCATGGTTTCCCTCCTGATCCGGCGTACGGGTAATTATAGTCTCCACACTCTTTATGCGTGGGCCAGTTTGTCCGGATTTATCGCCCCTCTTCGTCTTTTTCCCCTCTTTTAAGGTGGGTGATATTTCTTTCCTTTTTTGTCCGGTTATCGACGTTAGTGTGGGGAATTCCTTTTCTTTTCCGTATGTGGTCCGTATGTCCCTATTAGCAACTTTTCCGTACGCCTCATTCTTAGGTCCAGGAATCCCCTCATTTCCATTGTCACATTCAGTTTGTGCCGCCACTGATATCATTTGTTTTTTATCTTTTTCAGGTCGGAGGACTGTCATGGACAACTTCTGTTTCTTCTCTTCACTTCTGGCCGCATTAAGTTGATCAATCACTTTCGCCATTTTGTCCACACATGTTTCCATCTTCTGCATCGCATTTTGTGTCGACGGTTTCAGCTCATGCTTATCCATTTTGAAAACCGCAGCATGGGCTTCAATCAGGGTAAGTACGAGTTTGTTCATAGTCAATATGTAACGATCAATTTTGCTTTCCATTTCTTTTTTAGGTGCCGTAATTTCAGTCACGACTTCAATTACCGATTCATCTATCGTCTCCATTGCCATCTCTTCAGTACCACCCATAAGCGTCTTATCGAGTACTTCCGGTGGTTGGGTACTTAGGCCTTCCCGGGCCCTTCCAAAAGTTTCTTCTTCACTGCGAGTCGAATACCACGTTTCCACATCGTGGGCAGTCTTCGTTTCGCTAGATTTCTCGCCAGTAGTCGATTTTTGCACAGCGGCCTGGTGTACCACCTTCTGTGCGCCACAGTCGTACGATGACGACCCGAGGAGGCCTTGCGGCTCGCCCCCTTTCGGGCCGGTACTGGGGGTACCGATTCCCCCTGCACCGTAAGTATATATCTTTTTATTCTTGTTACTCATAATTAATTTTTGTTTTAGGATTGTCCAGGTGAATTGCCGTGTCGTCTTAAGTATATCCAGTCCAGCAATAAATTTTTAAAACTATTGGTGCCGCGTAACAACAATATAAAAAAAAAATATAAAAAAGTAAAAGAAAAACTTACAATGTTAAAGTGTAAAAATGTAAAATAAAAATGTAAAATAAAAATAGAATTCATCCTCCTGGTAAAATAACATATGCTAGTCACCAACAGTCATACACAATACGCAAAATACTAAACTCTTCGAGGTGATAAAATCACCCAAAACAGAAACAAAAATTAACCTAAATAAACAGATATAAACTAATATAAACTAAACAAAAAACAAAAAACAAAAACAAGAACTATGGTGTTTAGTCCGCGGGAGCTATTTTATTTCACTCCTACCCTCCATGCACTCCGAAAAGTGCATGGCGAGCTTTCCCCTATCCGCCACCTGGGGACGCGCCACGTCGGGGTATCACCTCCCCGCCTATCCTGGACAACCAGGCAGGTTCGTGGAACCCTAACCCTAACCCTAACCCTAACCCTAACCCTAACCTAACCCTAACCCTAACCTAACCTAACCCTAACCTAACCTAACCCTAACCCTAACCTTTTTTTTTTTTATTGGTTGACAGAAGAGGAAAATGCATTTGCGCACGCGCAGGTTATCCCCTGTTCGTCTATTCGGCTAGAGGGGGCCCGGGCAGTGTGGGACTCATATCCCCTGAAGGGGGGCCTGGCGCCCATTTGGTGGGGGCAAACCCAAAGAGGCAATCCAGAAGGGGCAACCTAACGGCCCAACCCTGTAGGGCGAGCACAAAGAAAAAGGGTCACAGCCCAGAAGGGGCGACCCAGCGGCGCCCAGAAGGGGCGTCCGCGGCCTGATATGCTACCCACTAAAAACCTCTTCCCTAACGTAGGCCGTCGGTACCCTTTCATCCTTTGGGGATATCCCAGATGTACCGACGATAGCCGCAACGGCGCTTCTGCTCCCTAGCTTACATTTGCGCTTTCGTCTCACCTCAATCCGCCGTGCGCTAGGCAACCACGGGGGGTTGAGGATCCACACCGTCACACCTCCGATCTAGCGGTAGGATGTTTCAACCTGTACAAGAAAGCACAGGATTTTTCTTCGGCCACGATCAGGAACCGGAGGATTCCCACTCAACGTGTGATCGCGCCCCTACTTCACCTGCCTGCCATTAGCGAGGCCAGGAAACTTTCTCTTCGGCCACGATCAGGAACCGGAGCCCCTGCTCAACGGGTGATCGCGCCATGACTTCCGCCTGCTTGCAATGCGAAGACAGGGCTTCTTCTTCAACCACGACCGGCACCGGAGCTCCTGCTCAACGGGTGATCGGGCCGTGTCTTCACCTGCCTGCCATAAGCGAGGTCAGGAAGCTTTCTCTTCGGCCACGATCAGGAACCGGGAAGTCCTTTACCCGGCTGACCGCGCCATGTCTTGGTACGCTGCAACCCTCGATGACTTGTCCCATACATACTCCAGCCACACACACACCGCTCCTAGAAAGCATAGCATCGAACGTTCAAACAACCCAAGCAGGTAAAAGGAGGCATGCAGAATGCCCATGAAGAAAGTACGCACATAGAGTAGCCACTCCCTAGCCAGGTGAAGAACGAAAGTGTAAGAAACAAGCTCAGACTCCAATCCTATCGCACGAGTAAGATAATGTAGAAGTAAATTGCCATTGGCAAGAGAGCGGTAAAACAAGCAGCTGTAGCAGAGAGAATAGAAAAGAGTAGAAAAGAAAGTTAGTTAGGGAAGTGTAATAGTAAATATTAGCATCAACACCCAAACCAAATTAACCACCCAACACTGCGTTGAGCTCTGCTGCATTGAGTAACAACCAAGTAAGTAAGCAATGAAGTAAACCGGTAATCAATTAAAAGGAAGGAAAACAAAGTATTCCATTAGGGCGCCTTGAGGAACAACAATTCCTGTCAAAGTATAAAGAAAATTGCTGCGCTCACTTACTTATTGACAACTGAACCATATCAAAATGGGTAGGAAAGTGCAATATTGTCAAAGCCGGGCTAAGTAAATGTAAATTTAAATTTATAATGTATAATTTGTATATGGATTAATATATATTAATATAACCAAGACACAGCATAGTAGTTACACCTAAGTCATCTCATAACACAATGCAACAGGAAACGCAGGATCAAACTGTCCTTAAAAAATATATATGAAGGTAACGCAGCACAATGAAACGTACATAATATATGCATTCAAACAACAAATCCATATAAACCAAACTCTACCAAATTCTAATAGATTCTAGTGAATTCCATTGAATCCATTATGTTCAGCATGCAATAAGGCCAATTAAACTACACTAAGGCATATAGACACATGTCATCACATAATAATGTAAATATGTAAATACGGCAGGTACGGTGAAATAAAACAAGCACTTGTCAAGTCGTTTAATTAATTTAACCTAATTTATTCAATATACCATATCCACCGCTAATCACCCCATTCGTTTATTCACTCAACTATAATAATATAATGGAATAGAAGATAGGGAGTTATATAATACAATACAATACAGTTTACAGTGTAGCACAAAATACTGACTAAGTATAACCTAATGTAACTGAAATAACTGAAATAACTGAATATAATCCAAAATCTGATATAATAATATAGTAATATAACATATTCAATACTTTATTCAATACATAGATTGAATTGAACGGAGATAGAAGGTAATTGAATGTAATAAACATGAATATAAATATGACCATAATATAAAATAAATAATATAATATAATATATTATAATTTACACAAAACGGAGTAAATAGCACCACTTTGAAACACATACACTGCAATGGAACACAATGCATCACGGTGGAGCGCGCATTTCACCACAATCACCTTCGCACCAATTAAATTTTGATTTAAACTAAAATAGCAGAATTAAATAATTAATTTAGTTAACACTTCACATCACAGATCACGGACGAGTACATAATGCACAAATTTGCACAATGCCCGGAGAAGAGAAGAGTAAACACGCGTCACCGAAAACTATGTTACCTAAGACTGAAAACCGGGCCGAGTAAAAGAGCGAGAGCGAGACCATAAAGCATAAAACATATAGAGATAGAACCTAGTGTTCATAAAATTCCCTAGTTCACTCCATAATGGTTATCAACCGTCAATTATCCATCAAACCATCAAATTAAGTAATTAAGTAATTATAATAGAGTATATATAAGTGCTCATAAGCGAAAAGCGAAAATGCATAAACAAAACAGTTTGAACAAATCAAAATGACCAAAACCAAAGATAATGTACCTACAAAAGATGGCCATAAGCCGCAAGCTATGCCTAGTTGGTAATCAACCGCAGTACCAAGGATATTACCAGCAACAAATATTCCGTTTACCAGACAGTGATACTCGGCCGCTCACTCCGTAACGGCTATCCACAGGCAAATTATCTGCCGCGCAGTGGTTACCTACCACGCGCCAATTACCAGTTACTAGTTACACAGTTACCGACTGCAAAACCGTCCATCGTGCTGCCGCGCAATCCTGGGAAACCGTACTTACCATCAGACTTACCATCAAAGATAAGTCTGGTATACAATACTATAATCGAAAAGATAATTATGCTAAATCAATGGGATCAGAGATAAACTTCAAACGGGCCAACATCAGGCATTAATTAATTATTATATAAAGAAATAAGTCAATATTATGGTTATAAATACATTACCTATATAAAACATCATATAAGTTTGTGATAAAATAATAAGATAGAATATAATTATAGTTAAAACGCATAAAGTAGCCTGACACGATATAAGTCAATAAAATAATTAGAAAAATAATAAAAAATAATAAATCATAAAATCAGCCCGAATAAGTCCCGCAGATTGCGCAGATTGCAGGACGCACTGCGATACTGCATGATAACGTCACAAAGAAACAAATTATACAAAAGGCAATGAAGATAAAGGAAAACAACCCCCAAGGAATGAGAGGCCGAATAAATAAATAAAATAAGACCCTAAACCAAAGCAAAATCAATATGAAACGCATATAGTCAGGAAAACCCATGGAACCATTCAGACAACACCCAGTCAAATAATATTAGTTAACAGAATAAATAAAACCAGAATAAAGTCAAGGCAGCAAGGCAACAGGCAACTGGCAGAAAGGAAATATGAGTCAAAAAATAAATCAAAATAAATCAGATCAAATCAATGTATAACTATAATCAGGCAACATCAAAATGAATAATGAATAATAAATGAATGAATGAATACTGAATGCGAGAGGAAAAGCTGAAGATATTCACAAACTGAGGAACTACAGCAAATGAAAGTGTGTAACGCTTAACAGACATAGCTGACATAATGTAGCATAATGCAAAATAATGTAAAAGAAAATAGGATAAATACAACAAGTGAGTTATATTCTAATTAAATATGACCGTAAACATTATTGACTCCATCCCCACTACTTTATAAATTATAGATTATAAATTGTAAGTGATTATGTCCATGCAAATGCAAATAGAAGGTAAAAATTCATAACCGACTGATGTATAAAGATAGTAAATAATAAATATAATGACAAATAAAAACAAATCAAATATAAGGTGCGTGGTTCAATTAGACACCACACCATTACATAGTAAAAGAATAAAATAAGGAATAACAGATAAATAAATAAATAAGCAAAGAAGTAGAGTATTTGAAATAAAATTCAAATGGTGTGATTATAACAGAAGCCACGCGCTGTCAAGCATTTGAATGGACAAAATCATCTATCCTCTCAAGAAAATTAACCGTACTTAAATCCAAATAACTCTAAATAAATAATTGTAGATAATAAGCGAATGAATGAATGAGTGAGTCAGCAATAGAGCTATTACAGAAGTTAATCAAGTTAAGGCAAGTAAAGGCAGATAGAGAGAGTAAGGAAAGTAAAGAAAGTGTAAAGTATAGTATAT